ACGCAGAGAAACATTTGTTGGCAATGTGTTGTTTGTTTGAAATTCAGCTAATACTGGCGGAAGGCACGGACGTAACGACTGACCGGTGATAACACTCTCGCTATATTCCTGCAAATAAGACGAGTAGAGGTGGTCGTATGCCAGATACCACTTTCAACTGAGCTAAAGTGTTAAGTTTTATCAAACTTTCATTCGCACCTCGTTATTCTAGTTCTATCGACATGAAAGTCGATGACTAGTGAAAGATGATTCGATTATTTGGTAGAAAACGTACACTGTGATAGGAGAATATGCTTTTTGGTGTTTTTGTGATCGGTTGTTTGGCAGTAACGTTTTTGACGGCAGCTGTCTGCGGATGTGCATTTGCATCAGGAGATTTGCGCTTCCGATTGGGATCGTTGGCGAGTGCTGCGTTGATTCGGTTGATGAACTCGTTCAGCTCTTCGATTAAAGCCAACTGCTTCTGTTCTAACATCTGAACAGGATCCAAATTCGGAGCCAACGTGGTTTGTTCATTGCCCACTAATACTCCGCCATTCGCTGTTCCCGCTATTCCTGAACATTCTCAGTAGTGGACACTTCAGGTATCGAACATGAATGAGCAGGAAACTACGATGATGGACTGACACAAAGTGCTCTTCTCTAAGTCAAAATAATAATATAATATTAGGTTCATTGATACTTTCAACAAGTCTGCACACGTGTATATACCTTAACTGTCCGGACGGCAGTCCCTAGACAAATTTTCGACTCAAAAATGCTGAGAAAGTAAATGTAGAAATAAACTTGGTTTACCAAATTTTACGTAAATCTTTATCCAAATACATAAATCGTATCGTAGAAGGTATACTGAGTACATCACCAATTTGCTCATAACTTTCATCAATTCCAATAACGTTACAAGCAGCGAAAAAAAAACGCTTGAAAACAGAGTTTAGATAGATATAATACCTGGTGTGTCGGCATGATAATTGGGCAGAGAATAAACAATCGATGCGGGTTTCACCTGATCATGTAAGTCGAAATATGGTTTAACCGTATACATGGCCGTCGTATTGTCGTGGTTCGCATACACGTTTTATTTGTACTCGTAAAACTAAACAGAGTTTTTAGAAATAGAAATGTTTAAATGAGTGCAAAAAAGATAAAACACGGCAACTAGAACATGTGAAATTTCTCTCGAAAATTTCGAGGAGATCGATGGATGCAGAGAACGTGTTTTCGTTAAAACTAAGCATATTTTCATGAGCTTGCACTAGAAGTGTTTGAAACAGACTGGAACTTCAAGAAGGAGAGTTAGAAACTTAGCAAATCGAAATCACTTGTATAAAAGAAATTGGAGAAAGTATGATGCAATATGCGCACACAAGATAAGAACATATCGCCAACGATCAAAAATTCATATAGACAGAGTGCCACCGAAATGAGGATTTATCGCAGAGTGGAGAAGCGATAACATGTCACAGCTGATTACGGTATGATGGAAGCATTGTTGACGATGCAAACTTTAGAAGATCGGCTATATCTCCTTAA